AAGAATTTCAGTCTATTTCTTAATTATAATGGTCTTTGGTGGTTCATTAAAACCACGCATTAAAAGCAGTTAATCCCTACTATGAAATCAAATGGAATTTCTCCAAATGACTTCCATTTCCAATTCTCCCTGCATTTCAATGAAGCCAGAGTCAACCTAATTAGCAAGCCAGATAATTACATAGTTCTTTGGATGGGGCTCCATCTCAGACTCAGAGGTCACTTAGACTATAGACTTTGCAGACTTATTTCTGGTGGTTTAAAGCAGCATTCCCACTGTTTTGAAATATTGAAATCATCACTGGAGAAAGCCAGTGTATCTCTCGTAGGATGGACTAATAACGGTGTGGCTGTCCTCGGATAGCTCATAGTGACTGTACTGTAGCACTCCAAAGAACACAGTTAATAATCATACATCTTAGGAGGAGGCTGTGGCTCAGGTGGCAGAATACTTGCTTGCAGGAAGTTCTGGGTTCCACCTGCAACACTGCCTATATTGGGTATGGTAGTGAAATGTAATCTCAGCATTCAGGAAGCAGAGGCAGGAGGGTCAGACATTCAAGGTTATCCCTTGGCTACGTAGAAAGTTGGAGACCACCAGCCTGTGCTCCACGAGGCTGAACCTGAAGCTCACCAATTTGGCTAGACTAGCTGGCCAGTGAGCTCCAGGATCCTTCTGTCTCTGCCTCCTCAGTGCTGGGGTTACTGGGGTTCTACCTTGCATGGCTTTCAACTGAGCACTGGGGATCTGAACTCGAATCCTTTTGCTTGTGCAGTTAGCACTTTAACAACTGAACCATCTCCCAAACTCCCCATTCTGCATTGGAAGAAAATCTCCCTGGCTGTTATATATTGAATATATTGAGAATTAATTAGAAAAGTGGTGTGTGTGTGTGTGTGTGTATTACAGTCACGATCCACTTACGGACATTATTCTGCCCCATTTCTGTTATTGGTTGAAGCTGAATGTGTGTGCTTCCAACCATAATCTCAGAGGTCCAGATCAAAAGCTTTCCCTAACCAAGTAAGATAGGTTTTCTTTGCTTGTTGCCAGGCAGGCTAGGCCTGCAGCAAGCCAGGCCCTGGAATCCGGAGCAGAAAATTATTTGAATGACTGTGATGGAGAGTTAGTCACTCAGCAGAGCTGTAAGGCTACTGCGGAGCTGGCTACAGGGAGGCAAGTGGCCAGGAGCAGCGGCTCATCTGCTTTGTTAATATCTGCCCCGGTCTCCTGCTGGCCACTTGGGTCACACAGGGTGATTGTCTGTCCAAGCTTTGGAACACTGCTTTGTACATGAAGTCACCAATTTCACTCAAGCAAGGGACAACAAGGAGTTGAGTCAAGAGAGGTAGTGCAGTGCCTGGATCTTGGCTCTGCCATTTGAACAGATTGAGGGACCGTGGCCATGTTGGCACCGTCATTGTTAAGGATGGCCAAGAGCAAAAGACATCAGCGTGGACCACCTTCAATTACGGCTATGAAGGGATTCATGTCCACCAACTGCTATAATGCTGGAGATGGGACAAAGAGTCTAGCATGTGCTGGGAATTTAAGCTCAAGCATCTACCACTGAGTTATCAATATCCCCCATTGGCCAACGCCAGCTTGACACAAACCTAGATATAACTGGGAAGAAGCAATCTGATTTGTCTCCATCTCATTTCCTGGTGGCCACATCTGTGATTTTCTTAACTGCTATCATGCAGGAGGACCCGTCCCACTGTAGGCAATACCATCCCTAGGCAACTACACCTGCGCTGCCGCCGACCAAGCCAGAGAAGCAAACCAACGAGTAAGTGGCATTTCTCCATGGTCTCTGTTTCAGCTCTGCCTTGGTCCCTCGGTGACCATAACCTTTCCTCTTTCAGGTTGGTTTTGGCCAGTGTTTTATTACAGCAATAGAAACCAAATGAGAACGATGCATTCGTCATTTCCCTGAAGCCTAGAGAAGCAGCCAGCTTGATGCTAGCCTTTGTGCACAGAGCTATTCCTTTAGAAATAGCTGGATTTTGCTCAAGTCCTGCCTCATCTCTCCACGAATAAGTTAATCACCAGCATAATGAAGAACCTCAAAATGAGTTCTGGAGAAACAATTCAGGAGGTAAAGTATTTTCATTGGAAGCATGAGGACCTGAGTTTGATCCCACAGAACCTACATAAAAAAGCTGGGCACAGTGGCACCCTTGAGAACACACCACTAGTGGAGATATGAAGAATGTCAGATTTCTGGGCTTGCTGAACAAACCAGCCAGCCTAGTGGAACTGGTGAGTTCCAGGGCAGAGAAAAACTAAAAAAAAAAAAAAAAAAAAAACAAGGTAGAGCTGGGCGGTGGTGACTAGGCCTTTAATCTCTGAGTTCAAGACCAGTGTGGTCTACAGAGGGAGTCCCAGAACAATCAAGGCTACAGAGAAGCCCTATCTTGAATGCCCTTCCCCACAAAAAAAAAAAAAAAAAAAAAAAAAAAAAAAAAAANAAAAAAAAAAGGAGAAAGAAAGAAAAGAAAAGAGAAGGGAAGGGAAGGGAAGGGAAAGGAAAAAAAGAAAAGTCAAGTCAAGACCAAGGCGAAATGCTTGATGAACGACAGCCAAGGCTCTCTCCTGGCCTCCACATGCACATGCCCATGCATTCCTTATGTACCCATGTACATAAAGCGAGAGACAGAGAGAAAAAGAAATGGAAAGGCTAGCTAAATGCATCCTGAGAGAGACTGGGGATTTCTCAGGACATACCAGAGTTCAGAGGTGAGCGAGGTGCTCCCGAAAAGGCCAGGCAGTAAAGGCTGTTGACTCCGTAGGTCAGCTGGTCTTTGCACAATTACTCAACTCCACAATTTTAGTACAAAAGCATCCACAGACAAACAACAGGCATGGCTGTTCTCCAATAAAATGCTATTAACAAATACAGACAGTAGGCTGGATTCAGCACATGGACAGGGGTCACCAACTGCTGACACGGTTTAGAAATGGGCATCTGCCTGTCTGCAGGCTGGCCTGTATTTACCAGATGAGCACAGGCTTGGCCATCCTCATACTCAGAACCAGCTCTCGGCGTGGCGATTCTTAACCGGCCCCATAATGATATCAATGATAGCAACATTTAGTTACGCTGTGAGATTTGCTAAACCCTACTGAGGAGTTCTATTGGGGGGGGGGGAACAAGCCAAGAGCTGGGTGTGTGGTGCACACATTGAATTCCTGTACCAGGAAGGTTGCAGCGAGGGATCTGAGGTTCCATGGCAGCCTGGATAACACAAAGACCCTGTTTCAAGAATGCAAAACAAGGCTGGTCGTGGTGGCTCGCAGGAAGTCCTTACATCTGTAATCCCAGACATTTGGGGGAGTCAAATGAGGCAGGAGGATTGCTAAGAATTTGAGGCCATCCTAATCTATGTACTAAGTCTTACTAGACCAACGTAGGCTGTGTAGTATCTAGTCAGAAAGCAGAGATCGTGAACAGGAAGCAGGGCAGGGCTATGAATCCGAATCCTCAAGCCCCTTCTCTAGTGAACTACTTCCTCCAGGGAGGCACCACCTCCTAAAGGCTCCAAATTTTTCCAAAATAGTAGCAACAGCTCAGGATCAACACAACACATGAGCCCATGGGGACAGATTTCACATTCACCTTATACCTTACACCGTTTGTACACACACAGGATGAGAGTCATTTTTGGGTTTGGACTGAGACCTGCCACATTATGTCATGGGTAGACTCCCCCCACCCCCAAATCTCCCAGCAACATGCTAGCATCAAGTATTTGGGATTTCAAATTTTTTAGTTAGGAATATTCAACTTGTGATAACACATAAAGAATACTATTTTATGAGAGCGGAGGTCCTCAATCTTGGCATCACTGCCAATGTATGTCAGAACTATGCAGGGAACCTTCCTATGCACTATGGGAAGCTTATAATATTCCTCATCTACACCCACTGGACACCAGTACTACTACTACCCAGACATGATGATCAGGATTGCTGGGAAACACTCCTGGATCACCCGCTCGAGGTGGGAAGCAGTAACACTGTCCTTAGTGGAGAACCATTATACTATATAGTACAGAGTCTAGTTATCTACAATAATGTCCACCATAGCCACTAGGACCCACAAGATGGCTTAGTCCATGAAGATACTTGCCACTAAGCCTGCCAACCCAATTTTAATCTCCAGAACCTGGAACTCGCATGGTAGAAGGAAAGAAATGATTCCTTCAGGTTGTTCTCTGATCTCCACACGGATGTATAAGCCTTACACACACACACACACACAAAGAGAGAAATGAATACATGTAAAACCTACAAACCTGAAGGGTCTGCACCTTTTATTTTCTGAACAGCAGATCAGAAAAGCAACTGGACCTCCTAGTTGGGCATGTCACTGATACCCTCAGGGGCCAGTTTCTAACTTCCACCATCGGGGAGACACAAGGTCATAGCTTGTGATTATTCCAAGAAGGGTTTTATTGGGCATTAAGGAAGAAATATGTTTGAAAAGTCCTGGGGATGTCTGTCCTTCAAAAGTCTTTCAAAATTACAACATTGGCTCCCTGAGGCGGCTATGTTATATATAAAGGTTGGTCTCCATTAAACCCTCTATGTCACGGTCCACCTGGATTTTCCGAGGCAGGATCGCTCACTGAACCTGGAACGTGCTGATTCAGCTAGACCGGCTGACCAACGTGTCCTAGGGATCCTCTGTCTTTGCACCCACCCAGCACTGCTGGAGTTGCAAGCACGTATTACCATGCCCTACTTTTTATGTGGCCGCAGGAAACTGAGTTCAGGTCTTCCTGCACTTAACCCACCAAGCATCTCCCTAGTCCACTTTTCACATCTAACATGCAAAGAGGTAAAAGGTTGGGGTACTGATGCTGTAAGGAGGGACAAGCAACCCAGGCACAGTTAGGACACCAGCCTGCTAGAGGAACTGAACACTTGTGCACTTCTGTTTGTGTCTAGTGGACGACGCAAGCCTCGGGTGCTTGGCTTGATTACTCCCCGGATCAAAGCAAAATTAAATTACCTCCCAAGCTTCCGTTCAGAGAGCTCGACACGCAGGCAGGCTGACTCACCTTCCAGAAACTATCCACTTTGCCATAGACAAGGGACTGGTTCTGCCTTTTGATCTCGTTAATGTGGTGGATGTCACTGGAGTTCAGGTGCTGCTCGACCACGAAGCCCAGAAAGCTGTTGTCTGGGGTGTGAGCTGATGTAGAAAGCAAAAGACAGGGCTGTGAACATTCAGCAGGCACAGATCAGCGGTTGCATTACAGACTCAATACAGGCCGTCTAACCCACTCATACTGCTTGTACTTAATCAGTTTATGCCTCACCCGGGAGCTCAATCAGCTATGATTCCAGCTGGGTTTGCCATCTAGTTTGGGTAAATCAGAATCAAGCAGCATAATCCGCAATTTCACCTCCTCCGTGGGGTTTTCTCTGATAATACATACACAGGGGCTGAGGAGATGGCTGAGTGGGGAACGGCAGCACAGCTTCGTCTGGGAGTCCCAGATTCAGCCAGAGACTGTGGAGGGCTGCAGCTAAGCCTAGCAACTCAAGTTTGATCAGGCTGAGGCGGCTCAGAGAGAAGGCACTGGCCATGCAAGCATGAGCACCTAGGCTCTATCATAGGTGCATGCAGAGAAAAGGCTGGGGGTTGGGATGCACGTCTATAATCCCAGCATTGACAGGGAGTCAGGTGGATCCCAGTGCCTGGATGGCCAGCCTGTCTAGCAGAAAAGGGTAAACTCAAGGTTCACTGAGAGACTTTGTCTCAAAACAGACAGACAGATGGACAAAGAGATAAATACTAACATGGAAGTTATTTAAAGAAGATATTAAACATCGACCTCTGACCTATACACACAAACACAGTATAGTATATACAGCCATGTACTACTGTATCACGGTCAAACATGGATTGTGCCATGAAAGTCACAGCTTGAAGATATCCTAAGCTGCTTTGGCTTGGTAAGTACATGCGAGGCTGCCTGCGCAACAGCCACACACTGGCTGTCAGTGAGCCCTAGGGAGCTCCCTTCCTCTGCGTCCCCAGTGCTGTGGTTTCCTGTGTGTGTCAAGATGCCTGGCTTCTTATGTCAGTTCTGGTAACTGAAATCAGGTTCTCCTGTGGTTATCATCTTATCAACAGGAGCCATCTCTGCCCTCTGTGATTTCCAAGTATGTGCCACCAAGCGGGGCGATCTGATCAGAAGACAATTCTCTCTTGATTAAACAGGACCCGCACCAACTCTACCTCCCACCCCGTTCAGATAAATTTCTACTTGTCAGGAGATGGCTCAGCAAAGGCCACACATGGCTGATATGAAATGAAGCAACCATTGCTCAGTCTGACCCAAATAAAACAGCGATAAATAACACAAAGACAAATGCCCCAGTAGTTGAGATGGGTCATTTGGTACATGCCAGACACTGCAGGTTCAGACAAGCCCATTCGCCTTTGGGTACTTAATGTCAGGGGAAGTCATCTTGCTACCTTTGCTCTGGGTTTCTAGGAGCCAATGAAAGCTTTGCCAGATACAAAGTCAGTTCAGAAGTTCTGCGTTGGGGAAGGGCACATACACGCACAAAGCCAGAGTTCAGGTGTCTTGTTCATACAATTTCCACCTTATTATTTTTTAAACATTTTTTAATGTGTTTAGGCATGTGCCCGCATGAGGCCAGAAGAGGGCGTTGGATCCCCAGAAATGGGGCTATAGGAGGTTGTATTGGAACTAGCAGAGGAGTGAGCTCCTGACCACAGAGCAATCTCTTTAGCCCCTCCATCTTCAACAGTGTCTTTCAATGAACTGTGAGGTCACTGCTTTGGCTAGGCTGGCTGAACAAGGTGCTCCAGCCACCTGCCTGTCTCTACCTCCCCAAGCCTGGGACTTTGAGTGCTGCCACAGCCAGCATTTTTATGTGGGTGCCCAGGATAACTGGGCCACTTCTCCAGAAACCTTCCCTACCATCTGGGGTGGCCTGCTAGGAAGGAGACACCCCAGGTCTGTTGTCACCTTTCTGAGGGAGGATGGGGGAAGAGGGGCGAGGATGCAAAGGAGATGTGGAGATGCACAGGCTACATAAACACTGCCATGTCATCAGCCAGTCTCCAGGGGAGGGAGGAGAGAGCAGGGCTGTGATGGGGAGTTGTGCTTGGCCAAGCCAATCTGTTCCCTCATTTCTGTGTTTTTGAACCAGTGCCCAGAGGCAAGGGCCATGGCTACAGTTAGCTGAAGAGTAAATTACTGAATAAATTCTATGGCCAACAGGAGACAAAGCAGGGGCTGTCTGCTGCTGTTTTTCTTTTTCCTCCTTTTGCAGGGGCACAGAGGGAGGGCTCTAGAGCAGGAAAGGAGGGACTGGGAGACAGCCTGTGCATAGGAAGCATCCTTAAGGCAGTCCCTTGTTATGCTAAAAGGCCAAGATTGGGATCTGGGGCTCTAGACTTTAAGATGGCAGTTTTGAACTGTTATTTTCAGGAAACTGTGGTAGTGACTAACACTCTATTCTTGACATGTTTGTTTTTGTGATTCCGTTCGTCTAAGCCCCCATATGGGCACTTACAGAAAAAATGACTATCTAAAATATTTAGTGGATCTTATTATATGTCATGTTATCTAAAATGTAGCAAAAATAAGATTTAAAATTGCCAAAAGAAGAAAAAATGCACATGTGTAATTTGTGTCAAAGATTTTTTTTTTTCCAGTTTATAGCATGAATGGTGAAACAAAGGGGGAAGAAAAAGTGTATTCTTTTTCCTTGAGGCCGGGTCTCATGTAGCCCAGGCTGGCCTCAAACTCCCTATATAGTCAAGGATGGCCTTAAACTTCTGCTCCTCATGTCTCCACCTCCCCAGTGCTAGGATCACAGGCAATCGCCACTACAGCTGGCTTATGTGGGACTGGGGGTGGACTCCAGAGAGTCCAGCCTGTCAGGCAAGCACACCAACTGAGCCACGCCCCCACCTATTCTTCTCCTGCTGTGCTGTGATTGTACTTTGGTCCTAAATCAACTTTGAGGCTGTCTGAAAAACACATCACATAGAGAAGTTTCCCCCTGAAATTTCGTCCACATTTTAAATTCCTAGCCTCACTGTGAGAGTAACTGGAGGAGCGGCACTTGTCCCCTGGTGGCATTCCACGTACAGACACACAGCCAGAACACACGCCTGACCTTCCATGTCTCTGGTCTAGGTAACACAACTCGTCACCAGACCCTGAGTGTCTTCACTATGAGGGCATAAGACTTCCCTTCCCACCAGTAGGTGATTCTACGAGCTTCAGTCCCCACGTGGCCAACTACAGAGCAGCTGTGTGCATCCAGACTTCTACGGAGAGAACCCCAACCTAAACCAAAGCACTCTTCACTTTGCTTATAAGGAATCCAATGCTAGAGATGTGCATGATGATACCAAAAACCTTTCGTCATCTAGAGAAAGTCATCTTGAGAAAACGCTCAGTGGTTAAGAGCACTTGTTGCTCTTCCAGAAGACCCACATTTGGTCCCTGTGTCTCCATGTCTGGCAGCTCACCTGAAACTCTAACTCCCAGGAGGACTGCATGCCTCTGGCCTCTGCCGGCACCTGTACGTTTCTCCCTCAAACCACACATGCACACACAAATTTTTAAAAAATGACTTTTCATCTTGTTCTAACCTCAACCCGAAGGTTCTCCTTTGCGTTGCCTATGACGCAAACAGACATCAACTGTGGTCAGAGGGCATGAGGGCGAATGTTTGCATTTCAGGGTAAATCAATGGACTCCCATGATAACGGAGTCTCAGGGAATGCTGCACTTTCTGTAATCAGTCCATCTCAGAAGAGAAACAAGTGGGATGCCTACAGACACCACCCCGATATCTGAGTTCTCTTTACTTTCCCAGTCTTGTCCCAAGCCTGTGTGATGGCAAAGACTGCCAACTAGAAGGGAGCTACAACCACCTACCAGACCAGCCTCCAGGCAGGTCTGTGAGGGAGTTTCTAGATTGGGTAAGTTGAGGAGGGAAGACCCACCCTAAATGTGGATGGCACTGTTCCAGGGAGGGGGTCTAGGACTCAATAAAGAGGGGAAAGCGAGCTGAGCATCAGCCATCAGCGTCAGCTCTCTCTGCTTCCTGACTGTGGATGTCCTGTGACCAGCCACCTCACCCTCCTGCTGCCACGCCTTGATGGACTGTATCCCTACACACACACACACACACACACACACACACACACACACACACACACTGTGAGCCCAGACAAACCCTTCTTCCCTTAAATTTCTTTTGTCAAGTATTTTGCCACAGAAACAAGAAAAATGATGCACAGAGAAAATGATAGCAACTGTTTCATTTTATCTCCACAAGAATTCTAATGATGTAGATGCAGGGAGACCTATGGCCAGGAGGGGCAGTCCTGGGGTTCAGAGCCAGAACCGCCTTTTGCAATTCTACAGATAGCGTCATAGTATAAATACTTCATTTCCTGTACCCTGTGAATAACGGCAGTAAACCATGCCTTCAGGGCAAAAGCATGTTCTACTATAGTCTAGAATGCACATAAAAAGACAGAAGTGCACGCACACTCTACAATTATACACGGATGAACTGTATCACTGCAATTCTGCCAGGTGTATTTGTGGCTACAACTTTTTTGTTTGTTTGTTTTACTTGAGATGTGGTCTCATGTAGCCCAGGTTAGCCTTGAACTCACTATGAAGCTGAGGATGACTTTGAACTTCTGATGCTCCTGCCTCCACCTTTGGAGTGCTGGGATGGCAGGAGTCTACCACCATGCCCAGTTTACGTTGTACTGGGAGGACCCAGGGCTTCCTGCATGCTATTCAAGCACTCTGCCGATGGAGCTACATCCCAGCCCCTCCTGTCTTTTTAAAATATGAGTTCTTAGTAAATGAAACTGACTTTGCTTTCAATTGCACAAATCTCCAAGGCCCATTTCTCTCCTGGTAAGTCTTTTAAATGTCTCTAAGAATTTTGAGTTAAACACACAATACGCATTCCCAAAGCCATAACCCCAAGAGCAAGCCTGGGCTGCCTCCTCAGCCCTCACAGACAGTTAGTCACTAGGTCCCAGGGGTGTGAACTTCTCAAGACTCCCAACTACCTCTCTCCTCTCTACCTTTAAGAGCTCAGGCCACATCGATATTTGCCTATAAACACATTTTCCTTTCCCCTAAATAGAAATGCTTTAATTGTTTTTCC